TAAAAATTTAAAGAACTCAGCATCAGAAATAGAAAGGAAATAGAAAAACTCAATGAAATCATATTTAAAAAGTATAGCAAATATCAAATATAGCAAATATAATAGTGGAGAAACTTTGGACACATCCTTTAAGCCTGGGAAATCAGCAAATACGCCTGCTGACCTGGCTGCACTGGAAGAGGCCTGGAGGGCCTGACACTGCACTAAGACAGGAAAGAACAGACTAGAAGGGGATAAATTGTCAAGATGAACAAACTATGAGAACTAATACAGAGTTCAGCAATGATACAGCATAACTAGTTCTCCCCTACACCAACACTAACCTAATGGAGAACATCACAAAAAATAAAATACCATTTATAATTGTAACACTATCTATGAAATACTTAGGAAATAATTTAATGAGGACAAATATTTTATTGATGATAAAGATTAAAACTCTACTATAGCACCAAAAACTAAACAAACAAACAAAAAACCAGCTTAATAAATTTGTTCTGATCATCATATGGAATCACTACAAACTATGAAGATGGCAGTTTTCATGAATAGTAAATAAATTTACTACAATTCCAATAAAAGTTCTATCAAGACTTTTTGATGACTTACCAATTCTAAATTTCTACCCCAAAACAAAAAACTGGATAACAACTAAGACAGTTTTGAGAAAAAGGAGACTGAAGTTGTCAGGGGATTGTGGGGAGGAGCTACCTGTTCATTCCTATGGATATTGAGACACAGTGGAACCGCAGTAAGAAAGTGAGAGACGGGCATGGTGGCGCACGCCTGTAATCCCAGTGGCTTGGGAGGCTGAGGCAGAAGAATCGCAAATTCAAAGCCAGCCTCAGCAAAATCAAGGATGCTAAGTAACTCAATGAGACCCTGTCTCTAAATAAAATACAAAGTAGGACTGGGGATATAGCTTAATGGTCGAGTGCCCCTGAGTTCAATCCCCAGTACCAAAAAATAAAAAATAAAATAAGTAAGTTAGTGAGGTAATTCAGGAACAGTCATAAATTGAGTACTCAAAAACAGACCATGTTTATGTGGAGCAAAATATATAAGATACAGGTTGACACTATAAATGAATGACCAAATGGGACACTGATGAGCAGATGGTGATGGAAAAATCAGTAGATGGTGAGGGAGATAAAGTTGGGTCCCTATCTTGTATGATAGAGATGCACTCCAGATAGAGTAAAGTTAAAGAAAGAAAATAAGTGGGGAAAAAAACTTTGTGACTTTTGGAATGAGACAGGATGTCTTAAATAAGATCACCCATAGTACAAAAACCAGATTTGACTATGCCAAAATTAAGGATTTCTGTTCAACAAACATAGAGTAGACAAAGTTAAGAGAGATAAACAAATGAGAGAAGACTTTTTAGCACATCAAACTGAAGAGACTAAAAAAGGGAAAGATGGGGAAGCCAACAGGAAATATAAAGAAATGTAAATTTGAACAGACACAAGGAGAAAGACACAGATTCATGCTATCAGGTTGACTAAAATGAATCAAAAACAATAATAGTGTTGGAAAGAATATGGAGAAATGAGAAAATGACCACTATTGGGGGGCATCTAAAGAAGTACAATCCTGGAAAATGATACAAAAACTGTGAATTTAAATATGTCAACATCCATAATCCAGCATCCCCACTCTTGGATGGTAATCCAGAGAACATCTCCCATGGGACCTAGGTAATGTGTATTAGGATGTCCATCCCAGTGTGTTGATTGGGTCAGGGACTTGAAGGTAACATTAAGGGAATGGAAATGGAAAGTGGAATTCCAAATAGTCATCAGAAGCAATGAGCTAGATACACATGCAGTAACATAGCTCAGGAAGCTGAGGCAGGAAGATTGTAAATGCCAGGCCAACCTCAGGAACTTAGCACAGCTCGAAGCAACTTAGTGAGACCCTGTCTCAAAATAAAAAGGGCTGGAGATGTGGATCAATGGTAAGGCACCCCTGGGTTAAATCTCCAGTACAACAAACAATCCCCCCACAAACACAGTTATGATACCTTTTATGCAAATTTAAGATATATGCTCAAAACCAATATATTTTACAGAAATATACAACTGAATACATTAGTTTATGGGCTTCATGGTGGAAGGAGATGAATGTGGAGATTAGGGATGAAAGGGAAAATATTTTATAGCTAGCCACTCAGAAACATGATAGCACAGAGCCTGGACTTCCTCAGCTGATTGCCTGGGTCCAAATCGCAACTTTGCCCCTTACTAGGTTTGCTACTTTGGGCAATTAACTTCTCTCCTTGAACTCCTCCATCCTTAAATTAGTCTGGGTAGATTAGCTTCTGCTCATCCCAGTCTGTGTGAAGCTCCTACCACATCAAGGTCTGTGGTTGCTTTGACCAATAGGATGCAGAGGAAGTGCTGCTCTGGGAGTTCCAAATCCCGGAGTTGAAGCAGGACAGAAATATCTTACCTCTTCTAGACTCGAACAACAATGAGAAAACCCTTAAAACTGAGATGGCACGTGGAAAGTCAGGCCACATGGAAAAGCACCCAGGCCATCTAATGATATAAGACCCCCAGAAGAGGCACTGCCCGGGCGAGTCCAAGCCGACCCATGGAACAGTGAGATGCACTATGGTTGTTTAAACCACTGAATTTTGTTATTATAGCCTTAGGTAAAATTGTTATGAGGATTAAAGTAAGAAATTTTCTAAGTTCTTGGCTCATGACCTGTACGGACAGATGGTGAAAAAAATGTGTCATGGAGCTTCAGATAGCTGAACACATGGGGGTTCCTGCAAGGAGACTCCTTGCTCCTTTCCTCATACCTTGTCCTGTACATCTCTTCATTGGGTATTCATTGTTCTCCTTGGTAATATTCTTTATAATAAACCAGTTAAAAAAAAAAGGCTGTTCTTAGATTTCAGAGTACAAACTGATTGATGCTTCCAAACCAAACTGATACCCTGAAACAAGTCCAAGGCAAGAATGATTCACCTAGCACCCAGGAGCATGGGACATGGAAACATCATTCCCCCATCCACCAGGGATTGAACCCAGGGTTGCTCAACCACTGAGCCACATTCACAGCTCCCTTTTTAAAAATTTGAGACAAGATTTTGCTAAATTTCTGAGGCTGGTTTTGAACTTGTGGTCCTCCTGCCTCAGCCTCCTAAACTGCTGGGATTACAGATGTTCAACATGGTGCCCAGTGGGAACATCTTTCTCAGGTGTGGTAAAGCAAATTGAATGAAAAGTTTATCGCTTTCCATCCTACCACCACAATAAATACATACATACAAGAGAAATTTGTTCTGGACCAAAATGTATATGATTAACTTAATTATTTGTTTATTCATTTCCTTCATAAGGAAACTGTGACCCCGGTAGGTGAAAAGTGTATTTTAAAAACAAAGAAACTGAATCTTACTCTGTTGTCTTTGTGCACAGAATTAGAGCCTCCAAGAAGGCTCAGGATGTGATTTCAGTGACTCATGATCCCTCATTTCTGGGAACCCAGACAACTGATAGACATTTGTTTTTCTCTGTAGTACCAGACCCAGAACTAGCATTTTTTTTTTTTTAATGTGTAATGATTTCTCAATAGCCATAGCCTCCAGTACCAGGAAATGTAAGAAACAACAAAAATATACACATCATTCAAAGATCTCAAGTCAGTAATCTCAACCTCCAGAAGGGTCTTTAATAGTTCTTTTTGCTTTCATGAACAATGCTCAATAAATATTGGTTGATTATTTAAAATTCGTCCCTTTTCTTTTTGAAAAGGGTTTAAAACAATTTGTTTATAGTCTTCAAATTGATTATTAAAATTTTTCTTCGAAAGCCATGCTAGAACAAAATAACCCAGATGGTGGCAACAGTGAGGAAAAGGAGGGAGATGGGAAGGTCTGCCATTCATTTATAAACTATTGGGAGCTAAATTTCACAAATCTTATACAAGGACTGTATGAGGTAGGTAGTATCATCATTTTACAGAGGCAAAATGGAGGCTTTGATGATGGATCACTTTTCCACAATTGGCAGCAGGGACACTAGAGAGTCAGGAGATGAATTTGGGTAGACTGATTCCATAGCTGCTTTTCTTTTTTACCCCATCACATTGGGAAGCAGAGTCGGAATCACCCTGGAATGACTAAAAGAGCGGGAAAGGCAGGATGTCCTAAAGTCAGCTCCTAGACACAAACTATTGTGAAGCCAAGAAGGTGGATGAAAAAGCCCATATTTCTGCAGAACTGACACATTTTGAGGGAGATAGCAGTTGCCAAGGCATCACTACCCAGGTGCCAATTTCTTATGACTCTAATAACCTCGTAGGCACCAGGCTTCATGCAGTCAGTCTGCCAGTCAATAGATCCTCTGTGTGCTTGGCCAGGAAGGGCGGCGTCAAGCCAGGCTGTCATGGTGCCAAACTTCTTTCTTCCTAAAAATCATTCTGAACCCTGTCCCCTCCCACTGGCCCAAGTCCCATCCCACATCAGTCTTCAGATTCACAACTCTACATTTCTCATCTAGCACTAGGGACTACAAGCTGTGTGGGTGATCTTTAGGCAGTTTCCAGGAACGCTCTGGATTGAAGTAGAAAGGAAGCATTTCCTGATTTCAATTCCTAGCTGTCTTTCCTCCTTGGGTTCTTTTGGCCTTGGACATTCCCTAGTATGGGCAACTCTGTAAGGTGTGTAGAGTGTTAGGGAAAGCCAAGGGCATTCAAGTATGAGGGAAAGACACAAGGCGCAGGTGCAGACCCAGAGATGGCCAATGACATTGCCCGGTGGGGAACAAAGAAAACCCCTGGAGGACAAGGAACCTGTAGCCAGCTGCTTGCCCAAGTATGGTGTTGCCTGAGCTGTGGTTTCACTTCCATTTCCTCCAGGCCCCAGATGAGTACTTTCACTGAAAATGAAAAGACTGTGGCTACAGTCCAGATGAAAGACAATCTGTGGCAAAGCCCCAGCACTTGGGGCAGGAGGGACCAAGACAACAAAAGACAAATCAGAGTAATTTCCAAATGGTGCCATTTATTTATTCTCAATTGAATTTTCAGCTCATCTCAGTGTCTGCTCTCACAGTTCTCTGAGGAACTGTAGAACTTCTGTGGATGCTCCTCCCCTGAGACAAGCACAGAAACAGGCACAAACTTGGGGGGGGGCATGAGCATACCAGGCATGTTTTAGTTGTCAATTGCCCTCTCTGGCTTTACTGTGATGCACATTTGTCTTCACATGACAGTCTCAAGAAAAATGAGTAGGATGGTACCACAGCAAGGAGTATGGAAGAGATGCAGTGAGACACCAGGGTACTTACCTGCCCCCACTCCTTGTCCCTTCCTCTGCTTCATTTTTTTTTTTTTTTAAACATTGCCAGGGATTGAACCCAGGGCCTCACACATGCTAGGCAGGTGCCCTGCCACTGAGCTGCATCCCCAGTTCTTTCTATTTATTTTGAGACAGCATCTCACTAAGTTGCCCAGGCTGGCCTCAAACTCAATCCTCCTGTCTCAGCCTTCCTAGTAGCTAGGATTGCAGGTGCACATCACCAAACCTGTCTTTCTGCTTCATTCTTTTTTTTATTTTTTGAGAGAGAATTTTTAAATATTTATTTTTTAGTTTTCGGCGGACATAACATCTTTGTTTGTATGTGGTGCTGAGGATCGAACCTGGGCCACACGCATGCTAGGCGAGCGCGCTACCGCTTGAGCCACATCCCCAGCCCTCTGCTTCATTCTTGATCTTTCAAAAATAAAGAAGCAAAGGAAGAGAACAAGTTAGCAAGGATGTTGACATTCTACTAGCAACTTTGTGATAATTAGCAAAAGGCACCCCCTTTTCCTGGCACATGCAGCCCTTCTATGCAGCAGGGCATGAAGGCAGCCCCCTCCCACGCTGTGTTGGCTAGGTACCTTTGTGCCTATGCTGCAATTCCCTAAACTCTCCCACCTTGAACAACCTCAGGGTTAAAAGACCAAGAAGAGATTGAATGCCACCCAGTAGTCTTCAGAATTCCAGATGGGCCCTGGTATTGATGGAGATCAGAGCCTCTCACTAGGAGGTCCAGGATGGTGACCTGAGAAAAAATGTGCTGATGCTATTCCTGGCTGCCAGGGGTGTCCTGCCCACCACCCCACAAGCAACCTACCCCTTCCCCCTTGGACTCTGCTTTACTTCCCAGGATGGGGATGCATCTATAGGGAAAAGAGGCATGGCCAAATATAGGATTAATGTGCTACCCTTTTCAGCACAGGAACCCCAGAAAATTGGCTGCCTACCTGTGATAGTGGTTCTCTGCAGCCAGCCTCAACAGATATGGATTCTGATCCATGGATTCCTTAATTCTTGGAAGAAGCAGGGAAGAGGCAGGGTATGGTACTCTAGGGAAGGTTGCCATTTGGTTGAGAGGTTGCCACTAGTAGAGCACAGAACGAGGCTGGGTGACCGTCATTTATGTATTACGGTGCCACAATTACAGGCTACCAAGTTGCACTTTTTGCTCTGGAAATTTAATGTGTGACAGCTGCGTGCAGCCAGTGGTGTCCAGCATTTTTAAAAGGTCAATTAAGAAACGGTTGATGGTGCCGCAGCTAATGACAGCCCAGAGGGGTGAGCAGGGCCGCGTAAACAGAAGGGCCGAGATGTATTTTACTGGAATTGAAGTGTCGAAGTGAAGCGTAGTGGGGAGGAAATCTATTGTCACAAGCCATAAAGCACATCTGAGGTTTGCGGGGGTGAGCAGTACAGCTGTTTTCCCCGGGCAGCCCGGGGAGCAGCCTGTGAATGGAGGGCTCCGTCCGACAAAGGGGACACCTGCATCAGCTCCATCAATCTCCAGGCAAAAATCATTATCCTCGCTGCTGCATGTTCCTTTGCACTTTTCGCTCTCCCACTTGGGAGCATAAGGCGGACGCTGCATTGATACTCAGAATGTGGGTCATGTTCTAGAAATCCATATTTTAAGCGTGCCCGGAAGCTGGTCCCGCCCTCTCTTCGCGGCGCGCGTGGGTGGCGGACAGCCCTGCAAGAGCCTCTGCAGCCAGTATCCTCCTCGGAAGACACGTCCGCTGCCTGGCTTCAGCACACACAAAGCAGGCTAAGCGTCAGACCCTCTGAGCTGAGATGGATGAAAGGGTGAAGCCCTTAGAAAAAGTCTGTTTCGGCCTGTGACAGAATTGGCTCATGGTTAGGAAAGGCACTGTGTGGGGTTTAAAAAAACATCAGACAAAGGGGTCTTAGACTCAGTGCACCGCTGCTAGGACAGGCTTTTTTGTCACATCTACCTGTCAAGCTACAAATTCAATACAGCAATGAGAATGCTAATTGATATGCAAAACAGGTCTAGGGTTCCTAGAAATGTCTAATGATCCACCAATTCATTAGGAATGCAGAATTAAGACATGCACTCAATGAAAGGGGAGGGATAACACCAATCTTTTTGCTTTTCCTTTTTTTTTTTTTTCTTTTTTAAACCTACTTTGGGGAAACTTAACAGGTTTTACGATTTAAAAAAAGAGTATTGCAATCAGTAGGGTTTGTCTTTCACACACTGGATATTTATTATTAGAAAATAGCTTCTATGAGCTGTCAGTACCAAACAGGTTGAAAGGAGGTGCTTCTCACCATAATTTTTTTTTTCTTCTTAATGATATTTAAATAAACAGCTCACTGTGTGGAGAGTTGCCACGCCTTTTTTCCCTTTAAAAACTGAATAATTAAATGAGGTTTAGTACAAAACATCCTTTAAACATATGACCTGTTCTGTAGTCATTATGGTGTCTCTTTGAGTAAGAGACATGAAAGAGATGAAAAATACCACTCAAGCTATCAAATTACCCCCAAAGAGTCCACAGTAGAAACCGGGAAACAAACTAACCCAAATGAAACCCATCCAAACCAAGAAACCAGTTTTTACATTGGCTTTTTGATTTTGATTATCATCTAAGTTTAATATATATTTTTATATATATTTTGAAATAGTAATAAAAAAGGAAGAATTGAATTGCATCCTTAGCAGGACAACCTTCCTCACATGTTAAAGAGGTGTTCAGAAAATTCCATAGAGTATCTGCTAAATAAACATGTTTGGCAGCTTAGCAAATATCATATGATTGCAGCATCCACGATTTGAAGAAAAACAGCATTTGCCTTCTTCTGGCAGAGTTCATTGCTCGGGCGATGTGCTAACACAGCTCTGGATGTTCTTAGACCCACAAGGTTAAGGAAGGGCTTGGAGGTGGCTCAGTGCATGGCCCCAGTGCAGAAACTTCCAAACCCAAAACACGAATCAACCAACCAACACAAACATCAAACAATTGTCTCCTTTGAGTTCCTCTTGACCGAGTGGAGGCCCAGCAAGGACTGCTGGTTAGAAGGTACGTTGACAGACTTTGGGATGAGGAGAATCACCCTCTGATTGGTCCGACGCCATTCGTTGTACAATCGACAGTGGTACCTAAATGACACCTGGATATGGGAGAGGAAAAATAAGAGAAGGTATACAGGTAGGCAGAAGTTGATAATCAATCCAAGAAATAATATTGCCACATAAAGCCGCTTCAGAGGCTTGCAGCCTTGCAGTGGGGCAAGAACTCTGGGCACAACAGCTCCAGCAAGTAGTTGAGTGCTGGGATATTAATGGCCATCAACCAAAGTGCTCCATGTATGAACATGACAGGGCTTACATGATGGCTTCCCTTTTCTCTCCACATAGCTAATCAGGATATGAACAGGAAAATAAAGCTCTTTCTGAGTTTGGATTTATTTCGGGGCCCCCCAGACCTTAGTTGTGAAAAAGGTTTGCTGGAGGCAGCAGGACAGACTAGGTACACCACCAGCCCTTGTCCAGCTGTGTGACATGGTCAGTGTACCTATCTGCTCCACCAGCTTCCTCTGTTAAATGGGTAATACTAGGGATTAATATAGTTTCCTGCAGGTTAGACATGCACTACAAAGGATCCCATTTGCACTGTGATACAAAGGACATCCTCTGTACTGGGCTGTGGACAAACTGTAACAACTGTACTTGGTGGCCCTGAACATGGCATGGAGCACTCTATGTGCTGTGCTTGTTTTTCTCTCCCTGTGCAGCAGGAGCAACTTGATAGAAGGCTCTGTGTTGCATGCCCAGCACCTATCACAGTATCCGACATTTATATTGCTCAAGAGAGTTTGCTGAAAATGAATGAATAAATGAATAAAGATCTTAATATTTCTGATTGCAACACAGCTTCAAACTAAAGCCTTTCTTACATTATACCTGATAGTGTAAGCAGTGAGTCCTAAGGTCAATTGTGACATAACTATACCACAAAGCACTTGCTTTTTATGTAAAAAAGCTGGAATGACAAACTTTGACTTGTTTGTTTTGGAGAAGGCTGGCATAAACTGATGGCCTGCCCAGGAAATTCAAAGTCTATACTTTTGAAGAAGTATTTTAAAAATGGGAGTAGATTCCAGTTTGAGTGCATCCAGATGCCTAGTAGGTGCTAGCAAGGAAGGTGTCCATGGATTCAGGGTGACCAGTCACTCAGGCCTGGACTATGTAATTGTCTTAGGGTAGGTGGGTTGTGTAGACTCTCAGTATGGGTCCATGGGAGTCAGAAAGTGGGCTGAACTGATGGTTTAAGCTCAGCATTTGTAGAAGTAGAACAGAGAGTAGACTTCCATCAGAGGGGCTTGGCCTTCATGGCTGAACTATGAAATTCAAGGCTACTCGCTCAAACCTGAGGCAAGGAAGCAGAAGACATAAGCCGAGAGCCAGAGAGATTGGGTATGAACATGTATGCTCTTAAACTCACACAGATGTCTTTTTCCAAAAGCCCTGAACATTCTAAAGTAAATCAGTTTTTTCTTTTTTTGTTAGGCTTGAGTCTCTCAACTCTGTCCTGCTGCTATTCATGAGTGTAAGAGGGGAAGCTCGGAAACCCTGCTTTCAGGGCCAAGTGCAGGAAGGAGATGGAATGAAGACAAGTGCTAATGAAGTCTGAAATCTGGAAATATTAAAGAAAAGCTGGGTTTCAAATCAAGAGGCCCTTCTTTACCCTGCTAAGATTCTCTGCATACTGGGCATTAGTAATCTGAGAAGCTGTGGGTACATGCAGGAAGCAGGCCTCAGATTCTGAGGCCTGATACACAGAGCTGGAATCCTCATTCTCCATCTAGTGGCTGCCTGACTTCGTGGAGTTATTTGTCATCAACAAGCTTTAGTGTCTTTTTTTTTTTTTTTTTTTTTTTGTAAAATGTGAATAACGACATCTGAGATAAAGCATGTAACACACTTAGACAGCCTTGCACATGTGGTGGTGTTCTGGACCTGAAAAAGATGATGACAATTTTGTGACTCTTCTTTAGACACAGAGAAACTGAAAAGAGAGAGATTGAGCTGTTTCCTCTTAGGCCTTACTTTGAGTTGTGGTCATGGGCCAGCAATAGGTTGCATCTCCTGGGAGCTTATTAGATTATCAGAATTTTGGGCCCCACCCAGACCAAAGGAATAAGAGAGCGCATTTTAACAAGATCCCATGGTGATTGGCATGTACATTCAAGTCTAAGAAGCGCTGCTTCAAGTATTATTGAGATTCAAGGACTTAGCAGGTTTCCCTGTTCCTTGGCCAAGATTAAAAAAAAAAAAAAGAAGAAGAAGAAGAAATAAAGGAGGAAAGAAAGAAAGAAAGTGGCTGGGGCTGTCACTCAGTTTTAGAGCACTTGCCAGCACACATGAAGCACTAGGTTCCATTCTCAGCACTACATAAAAATAATAAATAAATAAAATAAAGGGATGTGTCCATCTACAACTAAAATATTTAAAAAGAAAAAGAAAGAAAGCCACTTGTATCAACAACCAAATGAGATCTTAATAAGCTATTTAATTGCTATTAACTACCACAGTCTGCAGGCAAATTCAGTCACTGAAGAAAGCATCATATGAAGACTAATTCTTATCAGGGAAAATAAAGGAAGTTGAGCACAAGGCAGAGGAGACCACAGGTCTGCATTGCCCTGGGTTGATGGCTGTCCCTGTCTCTAGATGCTCCCCCACTCCCTCCCTACAATGCAATATCATAGGCAAAAAGGAGGCTTAATGTAGAGAAATAAAGAAGCAGTAAAGAAAAAATAAACAACATAAAATTTAAAAAGACACTACAGGGCTGAGGTTGTAGCTCAGTGGTAGAGTGCTTGCTTAGCATGTGTGAGGCCTTGGGTTTGATTCTCAGCACTGCATATAAATAAACGAATAACATAAAGGTCCATCAACATCTAAAAAACATTTTAAAAAAGACACTACAAACAAAATGTTAGGAGTTTTAAAAGATAGTTTTGAATTTTCTGAGTTTTTTTTTTTTTTTTTTTTAGGAGAGAAGAGAAAGAAAGGGTATAGGGCCATCATTTTAAAAATGTTACGTCTTATAGGATGGATTTCCTCAAGTTTATTCATGTTTGTATCTAAAGGATAGTTACCAACTTCCTATCATGGGAGAGTCTGTTTACAACGAGTTGCAACTACTATGAATGGCAGAAGGGATAGGAAATGTTAATATCCATCTTTCCCCATTAGAGAGGTGACTAAGGCTGTGGTGAAGGTTTGCTGTGAAGTCACAGCCAACTTTGGGAAATCTAATTACATTTTTCGATTCTGCCCTTTCTCTCGAAAGTTATGATATAACTTAAGTATATGGATGGGGCTGGGGTTTTAGTTATTTGCCTTCCCTGCCATGGGCCCAGCTTGCTTCTCTCCTACTATATTGTGGAAGAGAAGAAGACTGGTAGTAAATTTACCATGGAGAAATACTACCAAACCTTCTCTGGCTACCTGTAGGAGATGTGTCGAAACCACAGTGAGGCTTGTTGGGACAGTGTTCTACTGGATGTTTCCCCCTTCACAATAGGAACTTAAAGGAGTTAAGGGACCAGCAGTCTGCCTTTGAGGAACCAGGCCATCCATTCATTTTGGTCCATGCTGGGTACTGTCGGCGTCAGTGGTGTGACAGAAACACTTTGGGCCCCATGGTGCATTGACTTGCAGCCCTATACTGGGGCCAACACCATGTCCATCAGTGTTATCATGCTAGCATGGACTCGGTTCCCAGTAAACTCTTTCTGTGTCTGTTCATGGACTTCAGGTCATTTGTTACAGGAACAGTGATGTTTCTGGGACACTCTACCCTGAGCTCACAGGGTAGAAATGGGTGAGGGCCAGGCCTCCTGGGTTCCAGGTATGCTTCTGGAACACCAAGTTTGCATCAAGATGGGTCCTGATGGCCACATGACAAAGTCCAAAGGCACTTGGAGGCATGTGGCATGACCACTTGTCCCTCTTCACAGCACAGGGTGGCAAGGCCCTTCAAGGAATTGCTCCTCTGAGGAGCCTGGCTTGGACTGACACTGTGTTTGTTTATCTAAGACATTGTCAGAGCATATTCTCCTTAAGCTTGACAGCTTGTTTACAATGGGTTTCTGCCGGAGGGCAGTTTCCAAGTGCTGTCAGCTTCTGAATTACGGCTCTTGCCAGGGCTGCTCAGTACAGCATTTATCTGGGAAGGAATTATTCTTTAGTAACCTATTGCTGAGCTGACTCCACAGCACGATTTTCACACCAGTCAAAGGGGAGAAATGCCTTTCTTTCCCTCCTGCTACTTTGCATTTTATAGAGGGCTGGGGAAAGGTAGGAGTGGGGGGGTGGGGAGGGAAGTCACAGGGTGACAACCCCGAGCCAGCACTATGTTAGGTGCTTGGATATATGTTCTCAGGTGTTACCCCACTTAATCTTCATGATAACCACTGATCCAGGGGTTATCAATTATTTCTTCCTTTTTTTTTTTTGTATAAGAGGAAGGATGAGAGGTTAAATATCCTATTTGAGTTACTAAGATATTAGGATGCTAAATCTTAGATTTAAACACGGAGCCTCTGGATTCTAAATGCATGCCTTTTTTACTATGCAGCACCATCTCTCAGACACATTTCTGAAATGAAGTATGTTCTTCTAAGGCAGCCTAGTCTAAGTACCTTTTCCACCCAAACCTTCCTTTCACCTGAGATAGGAGATGAAATAGGTTCACATCCATTGTTCCCTGCCTTCCCACTTTTCCTTCTTGTTAGGAAAGTGTGTGGCTTTATAAAGCAAGTTTTCAAAAAGACCTTAAATTGGTTTTGAAAGCCCAGCATGTAGGTCTCACCTTCATCCATCCTTCATCACAGGAAATCTTCTAAGAAAAATTACAGAGCAGAAAAAGTCTAAATATGGCAAAAACTTATACATAATTATTATTTCCCAAAGTATTTTCCTATGTATTCTTCCATTTCAATCTTACAACATGAGGGGAAGTTGGCCATATGGTCATTACTGCCACCCCCACTTTATAGAAGGGGCCCCTTAAATTCAGAGAGGTAAAATGACTTTCCCAAGATGGTGTAGTCAATGGAAAGATAGATGTATTTAGACTATTTAATTTCTTATTTCTAACCATTCTTTCATCACAATAGAAGCTTCTGGATCAGCTTCATTGCTTGATTCACAATGAAGTAGGACACTTCGGAGCATGGACTTTTAAGGGAGGGAATAACAGTGTCATTTGGGATTTCATTAACCTGGAAACAGGATATCTAAGTTAACTGGAAGACTCAGGTAAGTTCTTTGCATTAGAAAACTCCCAGCTTACCAAGGCTCAAGTCATGTCCCTCTTCCTGAGACTAAAATGTGTCCTCTTGCTGTCTGAACACTCTCCTGGGAGGGGCCAGACAAGGCTGGCAGTACCACATGATGAGTAAGAGGGAAATGAGAAGGGTCCTTGGAGTAGCAGCTGATGGAGACACAGGGAGGGAGGAAGTGTGAGCCTGAGAAGCAGCTTCCACATGCTGACACCGTGCTATGGGATATGGCAAGGTACACTTTAGACAGGAAACACCGATTGAATAACAAAGGAACGTGCTCAGATTAGAAATGAGCGGGCACAGGAGAGTAATGCCAGGAAGCAGGGCACCAGGTTTCTGAAAACATTCAAGAGGAAAGTGACGTCCTTCCCGCAGCTCCCACAGGGAAGCATTAAGAGAGAGCAAATGTTGTACTTTGTGGGTGCTGCCAACTGTGCCTGAGCCATCAACTTACTGCATAAAGTTAAAAGAATGAAAAAAAAAAGATGTTTAAAAATTCTTCCTCATATACAGCAGGAACACTTATTGGGAAATGGCTTTTCTTTGGTGGCAGCTTCTCAGCTAGATAAATTAGTGCTTTTATGGGCAGCAGAGTAAATATCCCAACACAGGGAATAATCATCAGGCAAAGTGCAGCTCCACGCCCAACAAAGACTTTAGGCTGTGTTGGGACATAAGAAGAAAATAATCAGCAGGGAGGATTCATGATCTGTGCAGGCGGGGGCAGCAACAGCGGCCAAGTGCATCATTCACAATATACTACAATCCCAGCAAAAGTGAGAAACATAAACAAGAGAAGGAAAGTGCCATTTTTCATAACAGGAGGAGTCCGAGACTACTGGAGGAGAGAAATGTCCTAGGTGCGTGTCTTTGATTGATGGATGCTCAGAAGTTGGGCTTTTTCTTTATTTGTTCTGTTCTTCCTTGTGGTGCAAACCCACGCATACATGCATATACACTCACATGCAGAAATACATCAAATCACACACTTTGTTCAGCATTTGAAGGTCTGTGCTCTACTGGGCAGGTGAGATATGCTACAGCTGGGAGGCTGGCAGCTCCAGCTGGCCTGAACCCCCAGTCATGGGCCATACTTACTAGTGTCCAAAAGAGGTAAATAGTGAAGAGTGCGACAGTGAGTGCAATCAGTCCGACGGCCTCCAGCCGACTACTAAAGTGCAGGTGGTCCACGGCGCCCCGCAGGCACAGCCAGCCTGAGATGGTGGCTAGTGGGGTAATAAACAAGAAGCACACCATGTCTCCAAACAGAGTCCGCTTCTCATGCTGGGGGCCAGGGTTTCTGAGCCACTGCCAGAAAAAGGGAGACAGAGAAAAGCAAGGGAGAAGGTTAATGCCAGTGTAGAGTGGGGACACACTGTTCTGAATTGTTTTTGCCCTCAGAATCTGGGAAAAGGCACTTCTGACCTGTTCTGAGATAAGAAGGAAACATTAAGAGCTCATTGTCATGCCTCTTCCCCTTGAATAATAATTATTATGGTAATAATAACAATGATAGTTTACAATGTTCTTTTTGTAGCTGACTTGCTTTTTGTGAAAGAAATTCAAAGGCTACTATTCTGAATCATAGTGATCACCTGTGGAAGGCAAGGTGGAGAAGGTGTACTCTCTGAAGGTGCTGTGGTTTGGATGAGTGTCCCCAAAGGATCAGATATAAAGGTTTGGTCCCCGGGTGGAGGGTTGGAGAGGTGCTTGAACCTTCAGGAGGTGAGGCCTAGTGGGAGGTGGTTAGGTCATTGAGGATACGCCCTCGAAGGGGACTGTGGGACTCCAGTCTGATTTTTGTCTGCTTCCTGGCTCAAGATGTGACCACTTAGGTAGGCACAGTGGCACATGCCTGTAATCCCAATGGCTCAGGAGGTGGAGGCAGGAGGAATGTGAGATCAAAGCCAGCCTCAGCAACAGTGAGTGAGGTGCTAAGCAACTCAGTGAGACCCTTTCTCTAAATAAAATACGAAATAGGGCTGGGGATGTGGCTAAGTGGCCAAGTACCCCTGAGTTCAGTGCCTGGTACCAAAAAACAAAACAAAACAAAACAAAAAACAATGTGACCATTCATTCTGATGCATGCTCCTGCCATGACATGCCACCCTCATCGGAAAAACAAACTGATGGACAGGATCTTGGACTTGAACCTCTAGAACCATTATCCAAAATAAATTGTTTTTCTTAGTAAGTTAATTGCCTCAGGTATTTCATTGTAGTAATATAAAGCTGACTAATACAGAAGGTGAGGGAGGCTGGCAGCCTCAGATGAGGGTTAAGAAATTTGGTCATAGGGCCAAAGCCTTGACTCTGGGACTATGTGCAGAGAAAGGTTAACTCAGCAGGCCTGGGTTGTTCAAACTCTGCAAATCCCCAAGAAAGGCTTGGTTCTGGAATGGCTCCTAAGAAAAGAACATTGAGTCTTTGTAATTTCTGCCCAATGAGAGCTTAAGGCCTTGAGCCACACAATACCAGTTTGATCAGAAAGTTCTACTAATAATGTGATTTAAGTTGAATGGCTGTTTTTGTCTTAGGGGTCAGGAATCTCAGCACCTGTGGTCCGTATGGGTATTGTGTGCTATGGGACTAACCCAATAAAAAGCCTGGATACCAGGGCTCAGGTGAGCTTCTTTACCTGTACTATCACAAATTGTTGCTAGAAAAATTAAGTATTTCCATGTGATTCCACTAGGAAATGACAAATGGAAATTTGTGCTGGTTTCTCTCAGACTTTGCTCCAGGCACTTTCTTCTTCCTTTGCTGCTTTTAATTTGTGTCCTTTTGTTGTAATAAACAATAACCATGAGTATAACAGCTCTTCTAAATCTTATGAGTTCTAGAGAATCTTGAGCCTAAGGGTGGTCTTGGGGGGCCTCACACAGAATGAGACTCACCTGACTCCATGAACTCAGTAATGCCCCTTTCTTGACTTCTAGGACCCTGAGCCTCCTCAATTAGGAACCCCTCTGACATCCTGATAGTGCTACCATCTTGAATGAACCAACCCCAAAGAGGATGAGGAAAACTGCATGACTGTTGAAAGACCAGAGATGAGAATTTCTGTAGGAAGGGAAACAGAGTTGTTGTCTTCCCACTTGGTAACTGCTGAAATGCTTCCCTTGATCAATTTCTACAATGGATTACAATGTTATCCAAAGCTTACATATTATTGTCAGTACAAACTAATAATAGCCTTGTGACTTTTCCTTAGATTTGTGTTAACATACAACCCCAGATAACTGGTATCACTATTGTACTGTCCATGTAGTAATGGCAGAGCCCCCAAAGTCCTGAGAAGATATGAGATCAAACAGATGATGGGGTGGGGTGGGACCCATTGTTGGTGCCCAATGGGAGCATGACAGGCTGCTAGAGGAGACACACCAAGTAGGCAGGGCAGCAACTCCTGCAAAACCATTGGTGGGAGGGAAAGGACAATGATGGGCATGACAAGGGCAAGTGGACCAACTGGAAAGGGAAGGGATCATGATTCTCAAGGACATAAAGAGGAAACAGAAGAGCAGCAAAGAGGGCAAACAAGTTGAGGAAGGGTTGATGGAAGCCTCATGAAACGAGCAGAAGAGAGAGGAGGTAAAATGCTCAGAAGCAAGTTGGCTGGGCAGGATCCTTCCCCGGATGTTTGGATCCCCAACATACCAACTTCCAGGAATAACCTACCAAAGATGGGCCAAAGAAGTCAATTTCAGCTCAAAACTGTACATGAATAAATATTAAGACACAGATAAGCAGCTGTTGACATGTTTGTGAATGTAAATACAGCATTGTAAGTATTTAATATAAATACAAAAATTACCAAGTACAAATATATTGACCTTGCCCTGTGTTGTCACACTGCCTCAGAGATTTCAGCAGCTTCAAAGAAATTCAGAGAGCTGTTATTAATTAACATTTTTCTTGACTAAATACAAGGAATAGCGCCATGAAGTGAAGAGCAGAAATAGGGGCATTATTATCCCAATTTTACAGAGACTCAGCAAGGTTAAATGATTGCTCCAGGTGATTCAGAGGCTGAACTGAGGAGAGGATTAGGATCTCTCTATTCTTATTCAGATGTAGTATTAGTGAAATATTTGAAAACTGAAATTGCAAGACATTAAAATTCTTAAAATGAAGGTGCCCAAATTGTAGCAATTCAGTTCCCTCAGAGTTTGAATTTTCCTTGGAGGCAGAAGGAAGTTCAGGCTACTCACCACTGTGCCTCCATTTTATAGAACACAGTAGGTTCTTAATAAATATGCCACATATGTGCACAGACACACTAACCTTCTGGGCTACAGCTTCCGTTCTTTTTCTTTCTCCTTTTTTTTTTTTTGGTGGTACTGGAGATTGAAACTAGGGGTGATTTACTACTGAGCCACATCCCTACTTTCCCCTTTTTAAATTATGAGACAGGGTCTCACTAAATTGCCAAGGCTGGCCTTGAACTTGCCATCTCATACCTTAGCCTCCTGAGTCACTTGGATCACAGGCATGTGCACCAAACCGGCCCTTCCTTTCTTTTGCTTGGGAATTTGGGACACATTTTATTAACACCAATGCAATACTTATCTGTATTACTTATCTTGACAGGGCCCAATGCAATGATTCAGTTATGGAAGGAGATAATTATGAATCACTATTTACTCCCATGTAAAATAAATGTGCAGAGGCTGGGGGTGTAGCTCAATGGTACAGTGCATGTTTAGTATATATGAGGTTCTGGGTTCGATATTCAGCAGACCCCAAAATAAATGTGCAAAAGACAAGCTAGAAATTACAATAGCTTGTTCCAACTTTCTGATTGTTTTCTATTGGGGGCAGCTTACTCCTTTTGTTGTTTGTTGCTAGTCAAGTTTAGGTATGGTGTTCCTAGATACTATTATATGAAATCTGTATTTTCTTCAGAAGCCTATATGTTACTTATTTCTCATACAAATGCAGGCCTGTGAACAATCAGAGGTAATAATTGATTTCTGCACTGTTAGTAGGATTGTAAATTAGTATTAACCACTATGGAAATCATAGTGGTTGTACTAATTTAAGTTCCTTAAAAGCCTAGGCACAGAACCACTATATGATCTAGACATACCACTCTTCAGCATTTATTCTAAAGAATTAAAGTCATCATACTATAGTCATCCATGCATACCCATGTTTGTAGCAACATAATTCACAATAGCCAAACTATGGGACCAGCCTAGGTGTCCATCAATGGATAGATGGATAAAGATAATGTGATACACACACACACACACACACACACACAATGGAGTTTTATTTAGCCATAAAGAAGAATAAAATGATGTCTTTTACAGGAAAATGGATGGAACTTGAAAACGTTATGTTACGTGAAAAAAGCCAAACTCAGATAGTCAAGTGTTGTTTGTTTTCTCTCATATGTGGAAACTAGAGAGGAAAAAGAAAAAGAAAAGTGGGGTGAGACAGGGATCTCAAGAAAATCAAAGGGAGATGAGTAGAGTAGAGGAAAGGGACCAGGAGGAGAAAGGAAGGGAGGAAAAGGGAAAATACTGGGGAATGACATTGGTCAAATTATATTGTTATATCATGTGTATGTATGGATATATAGCAATGAATCTCATCACTATGCACCAATAAAAAATAAGGAAAAATAATCTCTTGTTAAGAAAAAACATTGTCCTGAGCCATGGTAAGGACTACTGACAAAGTACCTAAATACCTTGGATACAGGATATTTATTAAAGTAGAGTAAATTTGATTACAGTTTCAATTTCTAACAATATGAAATTATCTGAATAAATTATGAAATTTACTTTAACTAGAATACCATATAGTAATTTCAAGTGATAATGCGCATTTAATATTTATTAACAAGATATATTGCTGAGTAGAAAATAAATTCTTCTGGACAGAATGTGTACTTTGATCCTGTGTATTTAATGATATATTTACACAGACATAGAAATTTATATTTACATAGATGTAATATATTTACATAGACAACAACCAGGGAATACTTGGCAAAATAGTGGCTATTTTTGGTGGTGGTGAAGTTATGAGTATACTTTAACTTTTTTGGTATGTATCTTCTTATTTTTCTCAAATGAACATGAATAATTTGTGTAAATATGTGTGTGTGTGTGTGTGTGTGTGTGTACACCCTTCGTCTATGTAAATCAGTAATTTTATAAAATTTTCTTAGGCTGCTGTTCTGTTCTTTGTTAATTCCTTTACCAAACTACAATGAGGTCTAATTTCTGGGTACTTAATCTCAGGTACATTATCACACATTTTGTCCTAATTAGTAATAAAAAATTGATTTCTTC